GCACAAGAAAATAGTTTCAAACGTTTAAATTTATCTTAAAAAATAAATGCTTACTTAAAAAAAACTTATTTTTTATTAATTTACACAAGCGTTTATGTAAACAATAACTATAATTAATTTTATGGTTTTATTTAAAGCCTTTGCGTAAAATAAAAAACTTTAGAAAAGATCACAATTAAAATATGTTCATATCGTAACACTTTTTACTGCATTCAAATTGTTAAAACATCAAAAAAGCCGTTGTCAAGTTGTAAAGAAATAAAAATATGAGCGTGGTCAGTTACAGAGTGCAATCGCACGCCATTCCTGTCCAAGCCTGAGTAAACCAATATCTAGAAACTTTTCTTTATATCTAATTATTTGCTATATATAGTTGTGTTCTGTTGTGACCTCAGACGCGGTGCTTGTTCAATGCATACTTTGTATGCATTGTTTTTGTTTAGAAACCAGAAACTTCTTATATGTTTGTTTTGTTAACTTTAACAGTTATAACTTCATTGAAAACGCAATTATTTTTGTAAGTCTTCGTTTAATTCATTAAAATTGCTTTAAAAGATACATTACGATAAAAAACAGATACACAAAATTACATTTACATAAAGAATACATACTTTTTAAATAAAAAATAAGAATATACTAATAAAATCTATAATTTATAATGAACTTTTAAAATTTTGACAATTTAATTAATATATATTTAAAACATTTATTTTTGTAAACAAATAATATATATTTTTAAAACAAATAATGCTAGAAATCTCAAAACTTAACAAATCGTGAATAATACAATTACTAAAGCATTTCAACAGAAAACTCTAGAACTTTCTTTTGCTTAGTCAGTGTTTTTTTTGAACCAATAGAATTAGTTTGTTCGTTAATTTGGCGGCCTTTTAGTGTTCGCAAATATTCTTTTTGTTCTTTCGCACCAAGATGTTTTGAGAACATTCAAGTTTTTTATGTTTCCATGTATGTCCGTAAAACAAAAATTTTTTGTTTCTTAAAAACTTAAATGTTCTTAAAACGACTAAAAAACCTGGTCAGTTTTTCGCAGTTACATAGTTATTCCTTTAAATTGAAAAAAATGCAGCACTTTTATATAAAGAAACTAAATTAGCATTATTTGGTTGCACTTGTTTTGTCCGATACTCTAAATACAAAATACAGTAATTAACTGTACTTCTGAATAAAAAATTGATCATTAAAAAACTTATATACATTTAAAAATCTATTTGTGAAATAGTTTTTTCTACTTAATAATATTCAAAGTAGTATAGCCTACCAGCATTCAAAGTAGTATGGGTCAATCCATAAAAATTAAAATAAGAAATAAAAAGTACTTTCTAAAATATTTTTGTTGTTTGTGATAAGCTAGTCTTAGTTCACTTTTTTGATGCATATCATATGTAAGCTATATCTTCTTTTTTTTTAATCTGTTTATCTTTAGTTTCACTTTGATCAACAAGTGAGAGTGATTAGGAAAAAGTTAACTAAGTAAGAGATTGAAAAATACAAAAGTTATGAGCTTTAGTACCAGCAGGATCAGTAGTGTTACTGCTTGGTCAATTTGTTACCTAATATTATTAATATTAAATATACTTAATATGCCCAAAGACATTTAATTGGAAAAGTTATCCATAGAAATGATTCTATTTACATCTTATATGTTGCTAAAACATAAGCTTCTAACTAAAATTTATTTAATTTAAGAAATTACAACTAAAAGAATGCAAATTTAAGTAGACAATAAAGAACAAAGAGAAACATGACTGACTGAAGTGGTAAATGAAGAAATGAATGAAAACATGACTATGACAATGCTATAGAAACACTTAAAAGAGTAGTCAGAATTCAATCTTGATTTCTTGGCAGATAGGAAAGTTGATGTGTAACTATATACCCAGGCAAAGCATGTGACTATTGGGGTCTTTGTGAATCTTTGTCATGAAATATAGCCACTAACAATTCACTTCAAATTAATTTTAGAAAAAAGTGAATGATGAATTTGGCAAGAGATAAAATTCAACTGATGAATAGTTACGTCAAAGACCACAAATATTTGTAAAAGATTGAAACAGTTAAATGTTGATGATGGTTTGTTATGTTTAATATTTTTAAGTATCTTAGTCATGTTTTAAGAGAATTTGACTTAATTATAAATAAAGCATGGCACCTCAATGAGCTATGTAGTTGTCTCAGTCCTGCTATCAACCCAATGGTATTGTTACCATTATCAAATCAAAGTTGTAACAAAGTTGTTTTTAAGTGACCTCAACAGTTTACACCAAAAGCACTAGCAGGAACATCATCCATGCTTAACATGACACTATTAATACTTTGATATTTTACATCTGTTGATGGAATCAACCACTCTGAAAGCTACCAGAGAGTTAGGAAAACTATGCTATCAGCTGGCCTTAGAGCCAATAAAGTGAGGTTTAAAGCTGTATACTCAAGATAACAGAAATAGTTGCATAGCCACTATCAAAGAGGCACAAGCAAAAACCCATGAGAAGGGTCAATAAGATCCAACAATCACCATCTAAGCAGGAAAAAATGGTTGACAGAATACTTCTTCTTACTCTTTACTCTAATTCTTTCTTCTTCTTTAGCTTTCTACAAGACAGTAGCTGGATGCAGTTAATATCTGCCCTAGAAAAGTATTTTTATTGAGACATTATCTCTTATGGAAATGAAGTCTTACAAATGTATGTATAATGTACAAAAGTTTCAAGGTTCTTGTTGCATATAATACAAGTAATGTGTAAGTAATTCAGGAAGGTGTGTGATCACCCATCATTTTATGACGGTGCAAATAATATTTTGTTTTGATGGTTTGACCACCACTTTTGATATGTTTTCAGAATTATTAAATGTCCTGAAAAAATTTACCTAGACTTCACAAAAAATAGTTTTATTTAAAAAAAGTAAAGCACTCTTTACGAAAGAAAAAGTAAAAAGAACTTAGCTAAAACTAAAACACAGAAAATAAAAATGTAACTTGGCTAAAATAAACTCGAAAAACTAAAACGCAAATTTTATTTAAATCAAGTAAAGCGGCTAATTCAAAAAACATTTTAAAACCGCGCTAAATAAAAAATATTATAAAAAAGTAAAATTAATTACATAAAAACTTCTTGACAAATGTATTTATATTAGCGAAAACTTTTAAAATAAAGTAACAATTTACTGATAGTGGTTTTTAAAAAATATATAATTTAACAGTTATATGTATTTTTTAATTTATATTATATAAATTGTTCAAGTGTGCATTTCTATAATAATCGTTATTAAAAAATAAAAAATTGTTTTGTTTTTATAAACGATGACATTCTACGACTACGAAAGTCTCTTTAACGAATTTTAATATAAGAGCAATTAAAGTTAATACATTTAAAAAGATAAACAAAATTTCGTTGAAAAAAGAAAGTTTTAGAAAGCTGTTGCAATTAAATAAGTTCGATCTTTAATGCTTTTATATTATCAAAACACTTTTCAATGAAGTAACAAAAAGATTCTAATTAATTTTTAAAATAAGTATTAATAAACTGTTTTTTTTATATATATAATTATGTATTTTTTATCAGAAATGTTTATCTTTTGAAACATATTAAATTAAAAAAAAAAGTACAAATGTTAAAACAAAGATTGAAATGGTTTTTTTAATGCCAACATTAAATAGACTAAGCATTTTAGTTTAATGAGTTTTGTTTTAGTTGTGTTTTGTGTTTTTGCTTTAAGTATTTTTTTTATTTTCTCTTTTGTTAAAATTTTTTTTCTTTTAAATAAGTTTAGGTAAGTTATTGTAGCATATTTTTAAATTTTGAAAATATGCCAAAAGCCGTAGTCAAATCGTTAAAACATTATGTATAAAGATGTCCGATCGCATGGCTTTCTGTAAAAGCCTGCATTCAAAAAAAAAAAAAAAAAAAAAAGATAGTTTAACTCTTCTTAACACCATTTCATGCTTCATTTAAACATACATTTATTTATTGTTATTTATCATTGTTGTGTTTTTTTTTCTTTCTTTTTTTTTAAAGATTAACATTCTCATCTTAAACTATTTATATTTTACTAGCTGCCAAGAGCTGTACAATACCAGTCATAGTAAGTCTGTTCCACACTATATCTAAACCTGTTTTTAATTTGGCCTTTTTGCTTTATTAAATTTTAGTTAATTTTAGGATTAATATTATGAATGGTAATCCTAAAATTAACTAAAAAAACCAGCACAACTTTTAGCAGTGCACCCAAAATCATAATTGCTGGACATAACAGAAGTTACAACCATTTTGAGAATTGAAGAGTGAGTTAGCAAATATTGGCTTTGTGCACTGCATTCTTGCGCTTAATTTGAGAACATTACATGTCACCAAATTTTAATAGTCCATTCTTTGTATTCTTTGCAAAATTCATAGCTATCACTAATAGTTATTTGAGAAAGACAATGATTAATATAGCATGGTATGATCAAAGAATAAAGTTATTGGAAAGGCCTCTTAGAACTATGCAGGCTTGTTGTCTTCCATTAAAAGATTTTCTTGTGCATGTTTAGTAAGTGATATTGTAGTCATACTCTAATCATCAATCAAGGTAATAATGATTGAATTGCACATGATTTCAATGTATATAGAGCATATAATATATTTTCCTATTATCTAATAACTACGTAATCACCTATGCGATGTGTAATTGTTTAGTGCATGCATATTTTGCCTTTATAAGTTATTATCTATTATTTATCTAATTATGAGTGATCTAATCTTTTTGGCCATATTTGTATCATATATTTACTAGCAGTAAGCGATCCGTAATACGCTTTGTTAGTAAATAAAATTGTTAGTAAATAAAAAAAAAACCCGCGTATAGAAAAGCCTAGAAACTACTTTAAAATAGAAAAGCCTAGAAAATGACATAACTCGACTAATAATAATAATATTAAGTTAGCGTATTCATATTATCAGATTATAAGAATCCAAAGTAGTATAATAAAATTTCTTTAGGATCGCAGTTGGATCTCTAAAGGTAACGATAATGTACATGAAGTACTTAAAATATTTTTTATAAATGAAGAATGGCATCTAGAAAAAAAAGAGGTATATTTGAGTTATGACTTCTATGTTCAATTTTTTTCTAATTTATTATTTATTTTTTTCTTAAATTTAAGTTTATTTCTGATTTTTTAAAAAAAGGAGGTTGAGTGCCTACTTATAGATATGTTGGGTGTGAGGCTTGAATTAAGTGATTGCAAATTGTGAAATTTCGAAATATTTCTGGTCATCAAATTTTCAGTTCATTAAAAACCGTGAACACTGTTTTAATGAAATGGTCAATTTATCATATTGCAAAAATTAATGAAAAAACAAAACAATAAATTAACTACCACAAAAATAAGTCAAAATTTATATTTTTTAAATTATTGTTTGTTCAAACACCAGGTAATTTAAGGATTAAACACCAGGTAATTTAAAAAAAAGTTATAATAAAGAATATTACTTACTAAAGGTCCAAAAAATTTGCATGGTAATTTAAAAACCAACCAATAAAAAATTATACTAAGGCATTTTGCACATTGCTTGAAACATTAAAATAGATTTTAGTTTAGGGGTGAACTTTGAGGAATTGTATAAAAGTTTAAATGTTTTAAATTAGGAATTAACTAATTGATGATAAAAATAAATTATAAAACAGATATATTTGAAAACAAGTAATTAGAGTTGTTCTAAAACAACTGTAAAAAGTTATTACACATTTTTGAACTCCTCTGTCTTTTATTTATATACATATCTGCTAAACAGTTATGGGCATTCAGTTTATTAGAAAATATTGAATAAGATTTAAATAAGATGTAAAATTATTTCATGTTTCTTATTTTATGATTTATTTATTTAAAATTATTGATCAACACTAATTTCTGTTGTGATGTGCGGTTGTTTTTTAATATTACATCAAACTGTATGCTTTATTTTTCTAGTTTTTATTGGTTTATAAAATGAATTTAAATATTATATTTTAAATCATATTTTTTCAAAATAATGACAATAAAATAAAAATAGTAATAATATAGTTTTATAATGAGATTTTATATCATAGTTCAAGATTAACATAAATATTTTTCATAGAATAACAGCTATTGAGTTTTGCCATAAAAGCAGTTTTTAAAAAGCTAAAAAATTTAAAGACAGAAAGCATTTCCATATATATCAATTCGCGATCACTTAATTCAAGCCTTGAGTTGGATTTAAACCATCCTACACCTCTTGAACATATATTGATTGATTTAAGTATTCTACTAGTGAGTCAAGTGTTCTACCATTTGTCTATTACCACAATAGTTTGTCAATTTTTCATTTTCTGGTTAAAATATGTCTGCTGCTGCATTTAACTGTATATATTTTTTTTGCAAAAGTTTTTGCATACTAATTTTCTTCTAACTTCTTCAAAAAATTTTAAAACAGCTTATGTCAGTTTAAAAACATTTTCAATTTAATATTTGATAAAAATATTTAAACTTACCTCCTATTATGCATTTACTTTCTCCAAAATGTATTTGATTAAAAGGTTATAAGTTGTAACCAAACAAGGTACTGTCTAAGTGTCGTGTAATGTAGAATTTAACCCAGAGTAGATCTTTGGGAAAAAAAAAGATTTAGTAAGCTCTAAATAATGGTTCTAGTAATAATGGATCTAGTAAGTAAAATTTTAATTCAAATTTCCTCCTGCTTGTTTTATTTTGAGAGGCAGTTGTGGTGTAGTAGTTGGAGTTCTCAGTGGCATGCTGGCTCCAAAAAGCCCATGCTGAATTTTTCAAAAAGGCCTATTATTGCAGAAATTTACCATATATGCTTGATTTGAACACTATGTTTTATAACAGCATTTAACTTAGAGTAAACTAATTAGCCTTGCTTTGCGTTACAAACGGTTTTTATTAGCATTGACATTATTGCTTAAAAATGTAATAATGATAGAATATATGTAGGTAGAATATATTGTAGAAAAATAGATAATTTTCGAGATAGTAGAAAGATTATACTAAGTAATTTAAATAGTATTTGTGTTCATACAAAACATATAAAAACATAATTTATAACATATACACTAAGTTTATAAATATACATTAGTTTAAATTAATAATTTATTTTTTAAAATAATTAAGACAAGATTTTTTTCTTTTTCCAAAGATATATTTAATAGTAAAACTTTTTAGATTAGTAAATTTTAAATGTTGAAAATATTTTGACCACATTAAAAAGGTTAAAATATTAAATTTAAGATTTCAACTTAAGGCGTCGTTTCATTTCTATGGTTATAAAGCAATTCAGTGGTCAGCAACACAAGCAGTAATTAAATTTAAAACTAAATACTTTAAGTGATAAAATGTTTTAATTGAAAAATCTTAATTTTTCAAGTAATTTTTTTTAATACTTAAAAATCAGCAATTGTGATTTCTCTTAATAAAATAATTTCAGGATTGCGAATTGCCTTCTGATCTTCTATATCTTGAAGTCTTTAATTTATTTCAACCGTTAAAAGCAATTAATGTGATGTAATCACATAAAATTATGTAATAAACATATTTTACAATTATTTTTGAGGCTGACAGATGTTTGGATTTTATTATGCAAAATATATATGTACTATCAAAGTTTAACACTTTAGATAATTAAGGGATTTAATTTGTGATATAAAATTAAGTGAATAAAAAATTATTTGTTTATCTTTTAAAGAAGATATACAATTATAATAGATTACAATCATAAGAGGATTTAGTCATTAAAATTTTAATACCCAAATTTATAATTCAATAGTAAATTTTGATTTTATCTTTAAAAGTGATTTTATTTTTTAAATTTTTTGTTTGTTAAATATTGCTTAACTAAGCTCTAAAAAAATTCAAAGTTAAAAAAGAAATTAAAAAGTTAAATCACAAATTTGATGTTTTTTAATATAACTTACCTAGTACCCATCTTTAATATAACTTACCTAGTACCCATCTTTGATATAACTTACCTAGTACCCATCTTTAATATAACTTATCTAGTACCCATCTTTAAAAGAACTTCAACTTTCAACACATGTTACATTTATATTAAAGAGAATGTTAAAATTAAAAAAAAAAAATTTTAATATTTAAAATTTAAATTTTTTTGTAGAAAAATTTAAAATAATTTTTTTGCAAAAAATATAAACACATGTATAAAAACCATTCAAACTCAAAATCTTTATTTCAATACATTTTTAAAAGTATGGCTTTTAAAATTGAAGTCTCTACATTCATTTAACAAAGTTGCAATAATTCTCTTATGAATTATAAAAATAGCCAGTTATAAAGACCATGATTGTTAAGGTGATTCTTTAATATAGCAACTAATGTAATTTAATATAGCAACTATTGTAATTTAATATAGAAACTATTGTATTTTAACAAAGAAACTATTTCTTTAACTACATTATTATACTAATAACCTTTATACTGTAATTTTATTATTTTTTTATATAATTTTTTAGACTGACAATATTTCTGTTTACGCACGGTACTTTAAAGGAATTGGTAAAGTCTTTAAAATGGAGGTAATTAAGTTTAAATTCTTTTTTTTTTTTTTTTTTTTTTAATATAATTATGTTCGTAATTTGTTAAACATTTTAAATTGATTTCTTGTACCCAAATGTCTGCATTTAGACCCCTTAAAAAGATAAATGTCTATTATTTCATTTTTATGAATATTTTGAGGAATTTTCAAAGATCACAGAAGTTAAGTTCTTGTATAATATTTGATGGCATTTTATGTAAAGTTTATTTTCTTGCATCAATGCTTGAATTTGCAATTTCATTTCTATTTTCAAAATTTAAATGCAATTTCATTTTCTTTAAAAACATTGATGCTTGAAAATAAGTCATCAAATGTTTTACAAGGACATAACTCCTGTGATCTTATGTCAATTCTTTCATGACAATGATCTTGCACTATTTCAAATAAAAGTATAAAGGAATGCTAGCATTCTTTTTTATACTTTATGTTGTTCTTGCACGGTTTTGAACAAAATTCTAAAATCTTAAAGTATAAAGAATATCACAACTTTTAAATCTTTTTTGATAACATCATCAAAACAGTTTTACTCAGGGTTGATACTACAAAAGTCCATGGTGAGACAATATCTCCAACCTCTAGTTTATAATGTTGACAATTTGAAGTCAATAATAGAAAAATTATTTTTTTTTTGTTGATTAGCTGGCATATTTTTGAAAACAAGGACTTTTTATCCTTTTTTATAGCAGTATTTGGTCTGACTTGTTTTTGTATAAAAATCTTAATTTTTTCATAAAAATGATAAAGTCTAATAATCTTTAACTAGCTCCTTCTCTTCCAGTAGTTAATCAATTTTATATTTGAGGGAGGTAGTTGGAGTTTAAACAAAAATTTAATGTAAAATTATTTCTTTGATTTGATAAAATAAGTAATAGAAAGAAGTTTAGTAATTTTATGTAAACATTATGTTTTGCAAAACAAAACAAAAGAAATTGAATTCAATGAATTTTTAAATAAATTTTTTTTTTAAATAAACATTTTATTCTAAAAATTGAAGGGTGAAATTGTAAATTTTCAAAAAGTTTACTCACTTATTATTCATATAAATGTACTTCCTTATAATAAAGAGTGACCTGGATAACTTGGTTTGGAGTAAATAGGGATAACTGTATTGGAGTAAGTACTCTTATGAAATTTTCTAACACAAAAGTTGTCAATTTTTAGACTCAGTTTGATGTTTCTAGTAATATACTCGATAAATTATTTTGGGATGACGTTGAAAATCATTCAATATGGAACTCGTCTGTAAAAGAGTGTCAGGTTAGAATTTTTCTTTAAATTTAATTATGCAGTATTTATATTAATAAAAAATATATTAATAAAAATATATTAATGCTGTGATTAATGTCAAGCAATGCAGATACTATGCTATGGCTATTTAAAAAGTGTACTATGAATTGGCTTAACATTAATATTACAAATAATGATAAATGGATTCACTATTTAAATAACATCATAAGTGAAAACGACACAGCCCTTTAGCCCCCTCTAAAAGTCCAAAATTGAACTCAGCAAATTTTGTAACATGTGCCCACACAATGTGAAATCTGTTACTTGTAATTTAAAAAATCTGCATTATTTTAATGTTTGCAGTCATAAATATAGACAATAAATATAAAATATGCAATTGGCTCTAGATATATTAACAGAACTTATCCAGCACTTATCAGCGGTATGTGATAAATTTATTAAACACGCATTTGTAAAGTGTTTAACAAATGTAAATCGGTAGTTCATATTTTATTTTTTTTTAATTCTGATTCTCTCCCAATAAGGCTGCAAGCAACAACTATTAAGTCAAGAGTAACTAGAATTAAAGAATAGAGTTGTAGAGCAAGGAAACAGTTGACAGAAGGTTTAAAAAGGAAAACATGATGGGAGAGTCAGGAAAACATAAAGTTAGGAGAATTTTAGATTTTGTCTTTAGCTAGTGAGTACTCTGTTTGCCTTATGTATGGCCATTTCTTCTGGAACCTCTTAAAAAGACCAACTTCCACTTTTTTGTAATTCACCTCCTCAAGGCCAAGAAGGCCACTACAGACAAGGAGGCTACTTATTTGTGGTTATAACCCTCTCTCAACTCTATAACTCCAAAACACGAAACTTAATGAACAAAGCCGCTGCGCGGAGAAACGAATTGAGCGCAGTACTACCAGGGACGTGGTGGGGATCGAACTCGGAACCACTCGTTTATGAAGCGAGCGCTCTACCACTACACCGCTACCGCATGATTATTTATATAGACATACTTACTAACAACTGTAAAAAAAAAACAGCTCTGAACGACTTGCAAAACATAATAGCATCTAATGTTTACAAATTCCTGGCCAATTGCTTCCTCATTATGAACTCATGCTTCTTGATGGATACCTGTGTGCTGGAAGTTGTATCAAACACCAGACCTTGAACTTTTTCTCATATTTTCCAGTTTTCTAATACTTTTAGAAGCAGCCTGTTCCTCATGAAGCAGCCTGTACCTCAGTTTCTCTTTCATTTATTGGGACTGCTTTCAATTATTGGGACTCTTGATTTCAATCCCTGTGGGGATCACAGCTATTGGCTCAATGGTTTGCTTTTGCCCTATATATATAAATATATACCCCATTTTGTAGCCCAATAATTTTGGAATTTCGTTGGAATGACCTCAAATTTTCACAGCTTGTGTAGAAATATTTTAAGTTTATGTGTGTATTGTTTAGCATTTCTATCTACTCAGGTTAAAAAATGCCGCTCACTTCGAAAGAAAAGGTATTTTGCTTGTTAGAGTAAGCGCGGACTCAGTCACCAAAAACAGTGTAGGGTGCCTTTTTCACAAAATTTGCAAAGAAGGCACCAACTACAAAACAAATTAGGACTTAGCACCAAATATTTCAAGAAAAGGGCTGCTTTTATATACCTAAATCGCCAGGACAACCATCAACATTAGCAGAGACAGTGGAGCAGGTTTGTGAAGCCTTCCTGTGTAGTCCTTTGAAGAGTGTTAGAAGAGTAAGTGTGGAAACCCACATTCTTCAAACAACAGTTTGGCGAACTCTGAGGAAATAATTGCGATTTAAACCTTACAAGCTGCAGCTCATTCAGACCTTGAGGGCAGGTGATAAGCGACAATGTCAAGAATTTTGTTTTTAAATGCAAGATAAACTTAAAGAATCACTCGTGTGAAATCCACTTTTCACACAAGCGGTAAAATTAATAAACATAATGTTTGCATTTGGGGCAAATAAAATCCTCATTGCACAGTTGAAACTAGAGGGACTCACCAAGTTAATGTGTTTTGTGCAATATCCAAGAAAAAAGTTTATGGGCCATTTTTCTTCGAAGGAAGTGTAAAATGAGATGTTTATCTTCAAATGCTTCAAAATTGGCTAGTTAATCAACTCATAGAAAATGAAGACGAAGGTTTCATTTTTTACCTCATTGGAAGCTCACTGTACGAGCATACCTCAATAAAGTTCTGCCACAGAGATGAAATTACAGCTGCACTAGAAACTGTTACTGAAAACATGCTACAGTAAGTTTGGCACAAGCTCAAATAACGACTTGGCGTTTGCAGAGTCACAGGTGGCGCTCAACTTATGGCTTTCAACATAAAGTGTATTTAGTTTCATTAAGATCCATCAATTATTTTCCGAGATTTGGATATTTAGAATGGGGTCAACCATTTCAGAACACCCTGTATAAATATATACATATATATATGTGTGTGTGTATATATATATATATATATATATATATATATATATATATATATATATATATATATATATATATATATATATATATATATATATATATATATATATATATATATATATATATATATATATATTTAAACAATTTTAAAAATGTATTCTTCAAAATAGAGTGCTCAATGTTCTTAAAAGAACAGAGTAATTATAAATTAGTAGAAAATCACTTGACAAAATTTTTTTTGGAGTTTGCTGACACTATTATAAAAAGAATTCTTTAGAAATGATTACATATGCTTTTTTTTTTTATTTTTTTTTTTATTTTTAATAAAAATATTTTTAAAAAAGAGGGGGATTTAATGTAACTTATTTTTATAGTTTTTTAGGAGAAACTTATTTTCGTGCCTGCATTTAGAAATCAATTCCGATTTTTTGTTTAACAAACATTCTTGGTTTGCATGTGTATTTATTTGAAATTTTTCTTGTAGACATAGTATGCATTTTTTGGAAATATTGTTGTATGCAGGCGCTGTTTTAAGGATGGACCAATTCAGGACAATTTCATATATATAAATATATATATATATATATATATATATATATATATATATATATATATATATATATATATGTATATGTATATGTATATATGTATATATATATATATATATATATATATATATATATATATATATATATATATATATATATATATATATATATATATATATGTATATGTATATGTATATGTATATGTATATATATATATTTATATATATATATATGTATATATATATATATATATATATATATATATATATATATATATATATATATATATATATTGTTGTTTATTGTTGTTTATTATTGTATCTGGTTGAGATACAAATCCTCTTGTTTACTTGAGAGTGATCAATATAATGTTAAAATAATTTATACAAAATAGATCAATATATATATATATATAAAGTATAATTAAATAAAAAAATACAACTTTATAATGGAACTAAAAGTTTCATGCTGAAAAACTACTTAAAAATGCTATTAGTTTTACTTAGCAGCGTCTGGTTATAGATCCTGAGCAAAAGTCAATTATTTACCACGCCAGAAAGTCACTGTTGTTTGATAGCAATCAAATTTGGATTAAGAAGTCAAGCGGATTATTCGATGTTTCGATGGGAGCTTTTGATGGCGCCGAGGTGTGTGAACTTGTGGGGATTTTTCTTTTATTTCAGATTACGCAGTTTTATAATAAGAATTATTAATCATGGGTTATACTGTGATGACGGTTTGGCGATTTTTAAAAACATCAGTGGTCCCCATATAGAAAAAATTAAAAAACATGTTAAAATATTTAAATCGACTGATCTGGACATTACATTAAACCTCAACAACCACACCTACCAACCTTACTCCAAACCTTGAAACTCTTTAAGTTACATTCATGCTGAATCAAACCACCCATCCAGTATTTTAAAGCAACTCCAACATTCTATTAAATTAAGATAACCAGCAAATTCGTCAAGCAAGGAAATCTTTCTAAAATCCATTCCTATGTATAATGAAGCATTAAAAAAGTCCGGTTTTAATTACAATCTTTCTTACCTACCTAACTTAATATTTTCTCACACCAAGAACCGTAAACATAACATCATTTGGTTCAACCCCCCTTTTAGCAAAAACGTTAGACCAAATATAGGAAAAATGTTTTTAACATTAATTGAAAAGCACTTCCCTATAAATCACAAGTTCCACAAAATTTTTAACAGAAACACATTAAAAGTAAGTTATAGCTGTATGGCGAATATGAAATCCGTTTTAAACGCCCACAATCGCCATGTTATAAACAACAAGAAAGAATCAGCTGAAAATAATTGCAATTGCATAGATAAAAACACCTGCCCTTTATCAAATCAATGCTTAACAAAAAATATATCAAGCTAATGTATGTTCCAACGATCTTGCTCAAACTCCCATTAATAAATTTTGCATTGGCATAAGCGAAACATCTTTTAAAATTAGATATGCTAATCACATAAAATCTTTTAAAATTCCCAAATACAAAAATGACACTGAATTATCAAAGGAGGTTTGCAGATTAAAAGATTAAAACTTGAACCCGGTTGTTAGGTGGAAAATAGTTAAACAGTGCGATGCCTATAACCCTGTAACAAAACAATGTAAATTATGCATAAACGAAAAGTACGAAATTTTATTTTTTAAACACCCAAGTTTGTTAAATAAAAAGAGTGAAATATTATCTAAGTGCTGGCATAAAAAAAAATTTCTTCTTGGCCAATTTGACACTGGCGATTAGCAGTTTTACAACTATGCTTCTTTTTTATTCATTTTGTTTTGACGGCTGTTTTTGTATTTTGCATTTTTTAACAGTTTTTTCTTGATTTGTATAATATATATGGCTGAAGATTGCCAATAGGCATGAAACTTTTAGTTCGATTATAAAGTTGTATTTTTCATTTTAGTTAAACTTTATATATATATATATATATATATATATATATATATATATATATATATATATATATATATATATATATATATATATATATATATATATATTTATATATATATATATATATATATATATATATATATATATATATATATATATATATATATATATATATATATATATATGTATATATATATATTTTTCAATTTAATTAAACTTTATATGTATATATATATATATATATATATATATATATATATATATATATATATATATATATATATATATATATATATATATTTTTCAATTTAATTAAACTTTATATATATATATATATATATATATATATATATATATATATATATATATATATATATATATATATATATATATATATATATATATATATATATATATATATATATATATATATATATATATATATATGATATCCAATACAATCCAACAACTTATAATAAAAAATGTTATATTTTAGTATATACATTTTACTATTTAGGTTTTCCATCGTGTTAATAAGAACACCGATATTCTTTACACTGTATCTTCTGAAGCTGCTGGTGGTGTGATTGCTAATAGGTGTGTATAATATGAAAATATGTATATGAAATGACAATGTCTGAATGATAGATGTATAGAATATTTCAATACATGAAGATTATAGGTGACAGATTTATAGATTATATGACAATAAATGTATACATTATTTTTGTTTGTAGTTATTTTTGTTTGTAAGCAATTTAGTAAAAAAATATTAAATTAATTTTTGTAATAGAGATTTTGTTGTTCTTCGACGTCGAAAAAAGAAAGGTCCAATAACATTGCTATGCAGTGTAAGCATTGAAACTGATCTTTTGCCAACTAAAAGTGGTATAATAAGGTCAGTAAGTTATTAATTAAAATTATTTAAAATTAAAATTGTTTTTGTTGGTAAAAACATTTACTTAATATTGCTTCTTATTTTTTTAGTATTGCTTAAAGTTATTTTTCTGAGCTTTTTTATTTAGAGGTCATAATGGTCCAGGTGGTTTTATTCTTCGAAGTATTCCCAATGAACCTGGAAAAACAGAGTTGTTTTGGTTGTTGAATACAGACATTAAGGTAACTATTTGAATGCTTTGATTAAAATTACATAAAAAAAGTAACCAACCTATTTTTCTAGTTTGTTTTATCATTAATATATTTTTTGATCATAATACACTTAACAAAAATTAGGATTTTAAAAAATATAGTTAAAATAACTACAGTTATTTCTTGATATCTAGGATACTTGAAATCTCAAGGGTTTTCTGTAGTCGCTTGGGCTATATGTACTCGTTTTTGACCAAAATCCTCTTGATATCTTGAACCTTGATATCTCAAACTTCAATATCTTGAACAATAAACTTTTTCAGTATCTAGGTCAATTTTTTCTTGTTATTATAAACTTTTTAGAAATGTTTTAATAAAAGTTTATTTTTTATAGATTAAAAAAAATTCATTTAATAGACTGATTGTTTCTATCAAATGCGAAAACATGACACTTGCTCAAAAAGACGATCAAATCTATAATATTAATATCAAAAAGGATGTCTAAAAAAAAGGTAGCATAAAGGGATAATGTTCTATCGAAAAAAATATCTATCTGGTTTCAGAATAAAAACAAATGGTTGAGTTTGCTGTAAAAAATTGATATTGTACTGATAGTTTTAAATAGATAGTCAAAAAAATATTCTTGTGGTACGTTACAAAAAGAAGTAAACAAATACTAGTTGATGATACATACTGAAAAATAAGGCGCTAAAATTCTCAAAAGCGTAGAGAGAGTTGATGTTTAAAGCATCTAGTTGTTGGTTTCATAATTGGAAATAAAATTCATGATGGGACATGCACCAGCAATGAATTTTTTTGTCATGCGATTCTAGTTAAAGTTTGGATTTTCTGTTCCTATTTTTAGGAATGGCAGCAGTTTTAAAAGTAATTTTATGATTAGTTAAGAAAGAGAAATTTTAAAAATTAAATTTCATTAAGGGGCTAGCTCAGTAAACTTTGATATGAATTTTTATACTTTTGGTCATTCAAATGTTTATTATTATTATTTTAATTAATTTGCACTGATAATTGTTTTTTTACCTATTATCATGATGTACAACCTTCTTAATAAACATAGTGCTTAAATACTGAAATTTAAAAATGTATATTTATATTAAGTAAGCGCTGGTATTACATAACAGTCATTTTTACAAGGCAATGCTGTGGCTAGAAAACAAAACAAAAAAAATTTAAATAAAAAAAAAAAAAAAAAAAAAAACAGGCGTAAGGGCTTGAAATTCTAAAAATCCTTCTACAATTAGATATTACTAAAATACTCTGTAATTTGAAAAAGAGCCCCTAAAATTTCCCCTTTTATGATATACCGTAGGGCCTACCCAATTCTAACTATTAAGAGTATTAAGATACAAGTTTAATTAAGACATCGCCTTATAGTTTTTAGCTTTTTCCACCTGCATTTTAACAATGGTTGCCATCTCTTTTTTGCTTCTATTTCTTGACATTAAATGTCTACTTGCAAGCTGAACTCGTATATAAGATTCTCTTCTCTTATATATGTAAACATGGCCTGCAGTCTCAGTTACCATTTTGACACATCTTTTAACTGTGTATGAGAAGTCCAAGAAGAAATTTTCATAGGATGGTTTACAAACTCTTTGATGGTAGCAGATTTAAGAGTGCAGGTAAGTGGTGGCTTAGTTACATTTAAATCCCATGTTATAAGGTCTCCTAGCTGATCAGCATTTGGATTTATTTCTGGTGTTTTTCTTACTCTGATACCACTATCTCCAACTTGAGTTACATTATCTCTTTTATCTCTTTTATCTCTTTCTCCTCAAATCTTAAGAATCTTAGTTATAGCTTCTTTTCTTTCTGTATTTTTGCTGCAAAGCATGGCTTGTAAAATGGCTTCAGAATGTGCATACCACGCTGATCGCCTAATTGTTGGCATAACAATATCGAAAACATTTTTATTTTGTGTTCTAAGTAGCTCTAGTTGATACAAAATATGTCTAGGTCCCTCTATACAATTTGATTTCACTTTAATGTTAAACCAGTTAGGTATGTAAACACTAACAATAAAATTTACAATCATTAGTAAATTTTCTAGATTTTCACCAATAAGCGCATGATTTGACACAAATCATGCGCTTTCCAAATTCTGCAAAACCGAAGCGCTGTTGTTAGCCATCTACTATGACAGACTGGTCCAATTTCCAGCATTGCTATCCTGCTAGGCAGAACTCCAGCCTTTATTGCTTGGCAAGTTTGATATGCATAACTTTGGTCAGTGCTTAAATCCTTAACAATCTCCTGACTGAGATATATTAAAGGAGGAACTAAATTTATTATATTGAAGTTTGAATTGATTTCAATTTCAGTTGCTGTGTCAAGCATTTTCCCAAGTGGTCCAGACCATTTATTATAAGAAAGTATTGTGCCATCTAAATTTTCAGTTAAATGCCTTAACCCTAGCTCACCAGTGTGTAGATCACAAACAATCCACACTAACCTTCTGTATAATTTTTTTTCTACCCAATGCATGACACCACCTGCCCAACCTGTATTCACATTTATGCTATCTCCTCCAATAGCCACTAAATTTTGAATTTGATTCTTGCTTTTTAACCAATCAACCAAATGATCTGCAATAACTTCTGCTTTTTTTTTTTATCAGCTGTCACATCTGGAACGAAATAAAAAAGATACTCACCCCCAGGGTCTTTTACAACAGAGTAATGTTCCTCTTTAATAAGACTAGGAAAATTTCTTTCATTTACCTCTATAAACATTTTTGTAGCATCTATTCTCCCATCAAAAACTGGGTTTTTTTCTAGATCCACCTCAAACTGATTGTCTAATTCTTTTGCTAATTTTTCTTGAGCCCTTTTGATCTTGTTATGATCTATAATAAGATGGAAATCACTCTCACTTATAAGTTGTGGATCTATCAAAGTAGCTGTGGCTATTTCAACTGCTTCTCTTAAACTTGTTTGATGTCTCATGCTAGCTAGAGCAATATTTGTGATTTTTATAATATTATACATGGGAAATGTTTGATTCAGGGAAGATTTGCAGTTAGTTGGACTATCTACTTGGATTATATTCTGCACACAATCATCTTGTAATGTTATAGAGGAGCTACTTGCATAAACTGTTTCAACAGTATCGTGACGTACATAATCCTAAAAATATAAGTTCTTTTTATTTTTAATCAGAATCTAAACATTATTAACAACTTATTTAACACCCCACCTACTCAATTTCATATTTTTCTACAAAAAAACTATATAAATTTTTAATTTGACCAATAATTGTACCCCGTTTTAATATAGAATATAAAGAAACAAAACTTTTACAATGAAATATTTTGATAGAAAATAATAGTTTTAAACTTACTTGCTCTACATGGGACTGAAGAAGTGATATAGATTCATTTTCGTTCAGACAATCTAATTTTTCAAGTTTATCATTTGTTTCATCTGGCTTAAAATAAAAGTTATATATATATATATATATATATATATATATATATATATATATATATATATATATATATATATATATATATATATATATATATATATATATATATATATATGTATATATATACTTATATATATATATATATATATATATATATATATATATATGTATATATATACTTATATATATATATATATATTATATATATATGTATATATACTTATATATATATATATATATATATATATATATATATATATATATATATATGTATATATATATATATATATATATATATATATATATGTATATATATATATATATATATATATATATATATATATATATATATATATATATATATGTATATATATATATATATATATATATATATATATATATATATTATAATAAATGTTTGTATATATTATATTGTAGTACAAGCTTTCTAATTAACCAGCTACCTTTTTTTTTTTATCATTGCTACTTTTTGTTGTTGTTTTTTTTTCAATTTTTTTGGATTCTTTCCCATCTGCACCACCAATATAAAAAGTTCCAAAGCTTCTTATTTTAGTTCTCAGATGACCAGAGAGCATTTTACAGAATAAATAAAAAGCTTGACTCTCTATTTCGTGCTTAGTTCAGGAAAGCAGCATTCCTGGTGGAAACTTTCTAGCCCACTCACCATTAAAGGACTAAGCAAAATAAACCTGATACCACCACGCTAACACCACATCTTAAGACTGTCGTCAATTGTTTTAGAAAATCTGGTATTAATGGCTTAAGAAGACTTCTCAGCTGAATCTTTTATTGGGTTTGCAATTTAGTAATCTTTCTCTAGAACTTTCTCTTTCTCTAGCTACCGATGCTAATATTTTTGCTCAGATTTTAAACCCTTTTGAAAATGTTGATGATAAATTCGAGATAACGTTAACGAAGTAATAGACGTTGAAGCCCCGCCATGGCCAAATCGATGACACTTTTGAAACACTTTAAAATGCTTTGTTAGAAATATATGTTATAAGAAAATTAGATGTTTTTAGTGAAATCTTGATAATTTTTCTTTCTTTTCGACCCCTTTTTCGATATATCGAACTTTTTCCCTGATCCCCTGAAAGTTTGAGATATCGAAAGTTAACTGTACATAAAATCTAATGTGTTGCAATTATAAAACAATTGTAAGAATTATACAAACTCTTAACGAATGATTAACGATCCCACAAACTAATACTGTACGATTAACTCATACGTACACACATTTATTATTACTATGAATTTTTTTTTTTACCATAACTTGTATATTTTTTCTAAAAAAAATTCGTTAACTTTTTAACATTTCAAAGCTCAACGTTTTAAGCCTCCAATTTTATTACAAGATTTGAGGCTTGAAACGTTGCAGTAGATTCATTCGTTTCAATAAATTTAGTTTTTTTAGGTTTTTTTAACATTGTACTTTTATAATATTCAACTCGATTTGTTTAGGGCTGGCTGCCATCTCGTTTAGTGGAACAAAGTTTAAGTGGAGTTATGGTGAACACAGTCCGAGATATTCGCAGGTATTTAATGAACATTCCTTCATCTTAGAGCGATGTTTCTATGGTTTCTTTTTATCTAGCTTTTTTGATCAATTTTTATATTTAAAACGAAAAATACAGTAAAAATAAAATTGTTTTTTAAAGCAGACAAATGATAAGACTCAATTTTTTTTTACCAAAAAGATTTGTTATAAATCATACTTTTTATTAGAACTTTTTATAATAAAAATTAAGAAAATATTTTGTATGAGTTTTTTTTTTTCTTTTATTGAATTAAGCAAAATAATTTATATTTCTTTTCGCACGATATTTTTTAATTTGTTTTATGTTATCGAAATTAATATATTTTGAGTAAATAGCTTTTTAAAGTTATTGGTTATACATAAGAATTTTAATAATGCAAAAATTCTTTTATTAAATGGCTCGAATCCTTAATATGTAAAGATTTTTTTGGCTTAATTACCGGTATTTGGCTTAGTTATTGGTATTTGCTTTATTTACTCGGTACATGGCTTATTTTCCGGTAATTGACTTATTTATCAGCCTTGTTTTTTTCATAACAGTGATTGCAGAACTCGCATTACTCGAAGTGCCATCCTGAAATTTTTTTTAAATGTATAAATTTTATTTAAAATGCCCATTTAAAATGGCAGAAGAAACTGTTTTGTAATGAACATTTCAAATTAAATTTTCAATACTTTTAAAAAAGCTTCGGATCCTGATATGACATCAACTTTAATATTTTATAACGTTATAATTCGCCAATACTAATTCTTAATCTTCATTTTTAAAAGTGGAGTTCATATAATAATTAATCCTACACGAGTTAATTAGGTGCTAGCGCAACGTTAATTTATCAAATTATTGCTGATAAGATAATTAAAAGAAAACATGTTTTTTTTAGCCATTAATTTAATGCAAAAACGCTGTTTATTTAAGTAAAACTTATGCATTAAAAGTCAAAAAGCATAAAATTAGATATGTACTTCTTTCTAGTCTGGTCCTCAGGCACAAATATGAAAAATGGCATTTAAATTAATAAAATATATATATTTTTTGTATTTGAGATTTATGATTTTTTTTTTTAACTGCTGTTTACATAATATTATAAACTATGTTAGTCACCCATAAGCAGTTAAACTATATGAGTCATCTATTAGCACCTACGAGCTAATAAGAGGCGAATTAATTAACCACGTTGAGAAACTACTTAGTTTTTAAATCCATTCTTATTGTAGTAATAATTGTAAAATACATCATTGTACTTCAACAAAAAGTGTCTAATATATTTGTTATATTATTAAAATCGCTCCTTCTTGATATAGCACAGTAAAATTAGCAAAAATTGTCATGTTATCCAGAAAAAATTAGGAGCAAGTTAAAAATTGCTGGAAATGTTCAGCATGTACTCCTCATTAATATTGGATAAAATTAGTTAAATTCGGACCGAAGCTTTGTCTAAAATCCAAAATGGCATCTAAAATGATATTTTAATATCTCAGCTTGTAAATGATTTAGAAATATAATTTTTTCATCTAGTATTATGTTTTTGAGGTCAAGGAATTCATTTTCAAAATTTTTCATTTTTGAGTTAAACAGCTAAAAATATATTAAAAGTAGAAATTGGCTGCTTTTTAACACACTTACAATATTGTGAGTGTCAGTTCATATCCATTTGAGATTAGAAATTATTTGTTATATTATTATGCTATATTTGTTAAACATATTGAAGTTAATGTTGAAGACTTAATGTAGCAGTTCTTAACTCTTCAATGAGTGGAGTTTGTTCTCAGGTGAATTCTACTTTTCTAAATTAGAATCTAAAATAAGTTAATTTTAAATAACCATATTATTTACAATTGTGAGGAATTTGTTCTAGTTTGCCTGTGACAATAAAGAAATTACTTCCGGTTTCAACTTCCGGTATCGATAAGGATTTATCTTCGGTTGTTGTTCAACTTGGGAGTTTCCATTTATTAATCTCTTTCATAGACGCTATTGGCCAAATTATGTTTGGAAGCGGGCTGGATGAGATTTGGGGAACTATTTATGCAAAGGCTTTCGTGATTCAATTGGTATATGTTATGTTAAATAGTATAGGTTATGCACGGACACTTCATGACTCAAATAGCGCTACATTTTCAGATTCTGAACATCATATCATCTGCAGAACGTCTCAACGATTATCCGATTATTAATAACGTATTAGACAGAATGAACGCAGCAATGCAGTCTGCTGTTTCTTCATATCGAACTGCAAAATTATGGGTATAATACTTTAATTAATTGATTAACAGTATCATCAGTTGCACTTAAGTGCAACTGATTATACCGGAGACTTGCAGCTGTACTTATATTGTATGTCTCAAATGTTACCACATTTTCATGCATCAGCTCAAGTGCCTTATGCAAAATCTGCTAATTTGTATTTACAATAGATGTTGTCGCTTAAGTCCAGAATGTTTCCAAAAGAATACTTAAAATTTACAAATGACGAGTATTTCACCATTTGCCGAACATATAAATTTTGGGCCATCATGTCAATAAGGGTAAAACCGTTAGGTTGTTTTTGATGGCTGTTCTGATAGTCTACCTAATACCAAATCAGAAGAACACAGGCAAAGTCAGTTCAAAGCAGTTTCAGCTGATGTTACTTTTAACGAATTAATGACAGTTAATTCAACCCAGGTGATTTTCTTTTAAATCTTCGCAACAAAACCAAATTATTTAAAGCTTTACCTATGTGTCTTGCAGATTCTGGAGTTCATGTTAAACAGGCACTTAGAGATGCGGATAGACTAATTGTCAATACATTATTTAATTTGTCAAAATTTGGGTTCAACGAACCTGTTGTAAATATTGAAGTAGACACAGATCTGCTAGTATTTCTTGTGGCTCTAACAGATTCAACTACTAATAGTTTCATGATGAAGTCCGGAAAAGATACTAAGCAAGACAAATTTTAAAGTGCAAACAAGCCAAGAGAAGACCTTGACGACTGCTCTAGACAGTGTTGTTTTTAAAAGAAAGTCGTTGTTGTATTTAACCAAACATTATGAAATTTCTCATGCTGGAGAACAATTTTTCTTAGCATTATATGGATCAAAAAGCAAGTCAATTTCGCTTGATAAATTTTTTTATTATTTTTTTATTATCTCCGCAGAGTATCATCATAACCAGTTGTCAAAGCATTCAATTTTGCTGTATTACCTCCAACAATTTCTGAAGCAAAGCAACATTAATTTCGTGTCTACTATCAAGTGCAGTAATGGCGTGGTTATAACTTGGATCCACAGGAGTGGGGTTGGAATATGATAAGATCAAATCTCTTACCATCATCAAACCTTTAATTCCAGAAAATTTGTTGCATTTTGTGAGCTGTAACTGCAAAACTGGATGAATTAGGAATTGCAAAAGTAAAAAAGGTAAATGTAGTCTTATAAATAATATAATTAAAATATCACAAAACTTTCTATCATAACAATACAGTACTGAAGTAGTTAATTTACAATGATTAAAAACTGCTTTTAATAGTTATTTTAATTGTATTTAGGTGGTTTGAGTTGCTCATCAATGTATTGTTGCTGTGGGTGCTTATCAATGCGTTGTTGCTGTGTTGGAGTGGGTTGCTCAAATCCTGCAAACGTAAATGATGCTGATACATCTAATAAGGATAAAGGTTATGACAATCACGCAAATGGAGGTGTTTATAGTTCAGATGAAGAGCCAATACGAACAATTTATAACCAAATATATTAAAGTTTGAGATAATATAATCATGATAATTTTGTTACATTGTGATTTAACGTGCAGTTAAGCTATTATTCGGTATACTATGTGATAGAGTTTAAAGTTTCCGATTTATTTATTTAATATTTGTATATACAATAACATTTTCTTCCAAGCAAGTTTTTCAAAGCCTGTATAATGATATACAAACTATAATGAAATACAAATTTTAGTTCGAGGTTAGCCATCTTGGATATTGACTACTATTTTGTTTTTTCACAGAAATAAAATTGTGAATAATGAGTTGCTTGATCTGAAAAACATAATACTATCAAAAATTGTACTTCAATTTGATCAACAAGCTGAGATATTGAACACCACAATTTTGACGCTGTTTTGAATTTTGACAACCACTTTGTTTTTTATAAAACTGAAAAGGTTGAAAATTGATATCTTGAACTCAGAAACAAAATAGTAGACACAAGAATCTTGTTTTTTAAGTGATCTACATGCTCAGATATTACAAATTATAATATAGATGCCATTTTTTAGGCCATTTTAGATTTCAGATAAAGCTTTACTCCATTCCGTAGTTGTAACTCCACTCACTCCACTCCACTCCACTCCACACCTTTATAACACTCCACTCTGTAGTTATTTATGACAAACTTATTGTCAGGGATTTTAAAAAAACAAATATAAACACGTAGTTACTTTTTTTATTTTTATTTTTTATTTTTTTACAAACCTATTTTCTGTTACTATTTTTTATTTTGGTTGTATATCTTTTATTTATTTGTATATTTGTTTCAAATAACATGGCTGAAGAAACCGCTTCACAAAACATGGAATCTGAACCCTTCCAAATAATTAAAAATATAATATTAGAAAACGATTCAGACCTAAATACAAACTTTCATAGCAATAATGAGATAATGTTAAATAATAGTCTTTACTATAATTCGGATGTTTCTGCTCTTACTGCTGACCTAGTGAATTCGCAATTCTACATTTGAATATTAGGAGTATTCGAAAAAATTTTGAGAAATTTAAACAATTTTTATTTAGCGCCAAACTTAATTTTCTAATTATCTGTCTTACAGAAACGTGGTGTCGTGATAAGGAGATGGAAAATGATTCTAACTTTCAACTTGATCATTTTAAGGTTATCCATCAAGATAGAGGCTCTGAAAGAGCAGGTGGAGGAGTATGCGTTTTTGTGCATAACTCTGTGCATAAGTATTTTTCAAATTACGCATGGATCTTTGTTTTGTAACTAATGATTGTAAATCTTTAACAATTGAATTTATAAATAATACCCGCAAACATGTAATTGTTAACGTCATATAAAGACCACCTTCTGGCAATATAAAAACATTTCTTAAACAATTTAAAATTTAAATTACGAACAAAGACATTTGCTGGAAATGCACGTACTTTGTGGGCGATTT